AGTTGCGCGCCAAGCATGAGCCGCGCAACTCCAGCCACGGCCTTGCCTCTGCAACCCTTTCCGCCTGCTAGTCTCGACGTTTCCCCTCCTCGCTTCACGCACACCGCTCCACGCGCTTCGCGCTGTGCACGGCCGTGGCCGCGCGCTGCGTTGGTTTAGAGGGTGCAGGCATTGAACATTGAGGACACAAGGCTGCTCTTCACCTCTCCTCCCTCTGTTCTGCCGTGCCTTCGTCTCCCGTCGAGCCGCCCCCCAACGCCCCGCTCCTTCTCTTGCCCCCCCCAACTTACCAGCCTGGAGCGTATCCCAATCCCTATGCTGGGCATCTCCTCATCACGATGCCAATCTTAGGGATTCCCCTTATCTTTTGAGGGCGAATCCCTAAGATTCTCATCGCCTTTTGGCGTGCCAATCTTAGGGATGGGGGGTACGTTCGAGGCTGGTAACCAACGCCCGCCGCTCCCCCCCCAATCCCCGCGCCCTCCCGCGCTCCCCTCCTCCCCAGAGGAGCGCGCACGGCTCCAGCGTTCGCCTCGCCTCGCCTCGCTTCGCTTCGCCTCGCCTCCTCGTCCGATCCCCTCCCTCCTGCCCCATCCACTGTACGGGGCGCGAAAACGACCACAGCCGCTGCTTTTCTTTTGTTGCCGCCTTCCAGCCCGCAGAAACACAGCAGTGGTTGTGGTCATTTTCGTTGAGCTAGGCACCAGGGAAATGACCACAACCACTGCTTCTTTTTCGGCTGGCTGGAAGGCGGCGCAAACAAGAAGCAGTGACTGTGGTCATTTTCCCGTCCCGCATATCGCATCTCCACTCATGCCTCCTATCCGCGAGTGGCGCGAAGATTGTCGCGCTTCGCTCGGGGAATGCGGTCGGGCACGCGCTCGGAGGAGTTGTTTCCCAGCCCTTCTGTTGGACTTGCCTGGCCGTTTCACGGCGTCGGGGTCATGCTGACGCATTCGCTTGTGGAGGTTGCGGCTGGGGAGTCACGAGATCGAGAATGCTGCGAGAGAAAGGCAGCTACTTTGAAATCCCGCTGCGTAGACCCAGCCCAAGGAGACCCCCGTGTCATATCGTTCGATCTGCCAGATAATCGTTTTCGTTTTCAGAGTCACATTTGGTGGATAATCGTATTGATGGGGATATTGCAGAGCTTTGTGTTGCAGAATTCGTCGTGCCGAGTTGTTTGTCTGCATTTTGTCGTCGTTGAGGCTGCCAGACTGGAAGAGGTCTTCAAGATAGGCCGCACGTTAGACATGGTGTTTGGTCAGTCTTTCAGTGGGTGCTGTGATTGCGGTAGCGCGAGACGTCCTCACACTTGCCTTGCGACGACCCGCAGTTTTTTGTTGTTTATTGTGGCCCTCCAAAGGTTTTCTGGGTCACTTAATACATTTCTTGCGATCGCGATTCCTGGGTCTCACCCACTTGCTTCACCACAAGATAACCCGCGCTTCGCACATGTGTCAGCACGGTGTGATTCCCACTAGTGTTATCGAAGACGCCTACGGCGAATCCTCGCCGCCACTTGCCTTTCGGAAGCGCCTATGTGGCCGAACGTTGTTGCCAGAGCTCGGCTAAGCTATCAGAGTACGTGCTCCATCAGCTGTTGTGGAAACCCTTCGGGGAACACGTGGGGGAGAATCAATACGACTATTGGCAATCATAATAAAATGAGTAATCGCAACAGTAATAATACTAAGAACAATAGTACTGACAAGTCTATTTATAAGAGTATCAAAACTAGTAATAATACTTAGGAGACGACTGCTAATATTAATAATGCGAATGCTATGAATAAGAAGAGCACGGATAACCATATTCAAAATACTGCTACGACTATTACGAAGACGTTAATGGCAACAATACTAAGACGAAAAAGGCAAATTATCAGACTCAGAAGAAGAAGATGATAGGGAGGGAAAAAGGAGGAGGAGGAGGCGGAGGAGGAGAAGGAGGAGGAGGAGGGCTCTTGGGAGCCTCTTGGGGCACTCTTGGGGCCTCTTGGAAGCCTCTCTCGGGCTTCCTTGGGCTTCTTGGGGACCTGTGGAAGCTTCTTGTGAGACTCTTTCGCTGTCCGAGGGCGTTCGTGGCCCGCCTGCCGCCGTCGGTCGCCGTCTTGGGGGCCTTCTGTGGGCCGGCTTGGGCCGACTTGGACCCTCTTGGGGCCGCCTTGGAGGCCGTCTGGGCCGTCTGGGGGTTCTCCTGGGGCCGTCTTGGAGGCCGGGTCGCCAGGGGGCCATCTTGGAGGTCCCTCGGGCGATCTCGGGACGACACGGAGGGCCTTCTTGGGCCGTGTTGTGCTGTCGGAAGGCCGACCATGAGCAAACGCCGAACTTCAGCACCATACGGGCAACAAAGGAATCTGGCCTCTCTGGGGCTTCCTGGAGGTTCTCTTGGATGCCTCTTGCGCGATCTTGAGGCCATCTTGGGGCCATCTTGGGAGTACATCGGCCCGTCTTGAAGGCACCTGGGGGCCATTTTGGGCTCTCTTGGGGCCGTCGTAGCTGTCTTGGAGACCATCTCGGCCGTCTTGGAGGTCATCATCGGGCCGTCTGGAGTGGAAAGGCCAGCGACCTGGGAAGTCTGGGGGTCCTCGTGTGGGCGATTGGTTCTGCATGTCGAGGTCGTTCTGCGTCCTTGCGTGTCCTTCCGCGTCCTTCGGGGTGGTCGGCAGGTTGGGCCGAACTCCCTTGGGAACCTTTGGGAGGGGGAGGAGGAGGAGGAGGAGGAGGAGGAGGAGGAGGAGGAGGAGGAGGAGGAGGAGGAGGAGGAGGAGGGGGAGGGAGGAGGAGGAGGAGGCTGGTTGGGCCGAGCTCCCCTTGGGAACCTTTTTGGGAAGAGCCAAATACAACCGAACGTCCAGTACGCCGTGCGCCCCTGTGGCGATCCAGCGGGGGGCGGCGTATCGAAGGTGCCTGCGGCGAGTCACCGTTGTCCCCCTGCCTTTGTAGGATGCGCCTGCGTGGTCAACCGTGTGGGCAGCGTTTGGTCAGGCTGTTGGGCGATGTGCTCCCCCAGCCGTTGCGAAGCCATTCGGGGAACACGAGGGGGAGGAAGAGGAGGATGAGGAGAGGGATGAACGAGGAGGAGGAGGAGGAGGAGGAGGAGGAGGAGGAGGAGGAGGAGGAGGAGGAGGAGGAGGAGGAGGAGGAGGAGGAGGAGGAGGAGGAGGAGGAGGAGGAGGAGGAGGAGGAGGAGGAGGAGGAGGAGGAGGAGCAGGAGCAGGAGGATTAGAGGATTCGAGGAGGAGGAGGAGGAGATCTCTGGGGAGCCTCTTGAGTCATTATTTGGGCCTCCTAGAGGCTTCCTGGAAGCCTTCAGGCTGCCTCTTGGGGACCTCCTTGCGCCAGCATCAACACCAAACCTAGCACAGACGACCAACACAGACTCCACCCAACGACACGGCACCAACACACCGCGACATCGACTACAAGGATTCCTCCTCCTCCTCCTCCTCCTCTCCCCTTCCGTTTCACATAATTTTTTTATGTCTCGCATGCACGCGTTTCCATACACAATAGCATTTCAGAGGCCACGGCGTCGTTCACCTGGTCTCCAGTAGGCCCGGACTGCTGTTCGCACCGGTGGTCGTTCGTTCGTTCGTTGGGCCTCTTCGGGGCCCTTGCGAGCTTCTTTGGCAGTCGTAGGGCGTTCCTGGCCCGCCTGACGCCGTCGGAAGCCCTCTTTGGGGCCTCTCTGGGCCCACTCGGGGCCTCCTTGGGGCGCTTCAGGGCCGTCTTGGAAGTCTCTGGGGCCATCTTGGGGCAGTTTTAGGGGTCTCTTGGGCCGTCTTGAGGGCCTCTTGGGCCGTCATGGGGCCATCTTGGAGGTATATTGGGCGATCTTGTGGCGATCATAGGGGCCTCTTGGGCCGTCTTGTGCCGTCGGAAGGCCGAAACGGAGCAACTGCCACAATCCGTCAAACACGTGGTGAACGTCACTAGTTGTGGCCTCTTCGGGCCTGTTGTATTGCCTCTTGGAGACCTCCTGGGCCGTCTTGGAGGCCTTTTGGGGGCCCCTTGGGCCATCTTGAGGCCATCTTAGGTAGTCATGGGTGCATCTTGCGCCGTCTTGGAGACATCTTGCGGCCATCTTGGGCTCTCCTGGACCATCTTGACCGTCTTGGGGGCCATCTTGGGAATCTTGGAGACCTCTTGGGCCGTCTTTGGGTCTTCTTGTGGCCGTCTTGGTCGTCTCTTGGGCTGTCATGGTGCCATCTTGGAGGCCTCTTGGGCCGTCTCGGGGGCCGTTTTGAGCCGTCTTGGGCTTTCGGAAGGCCGAAAATGAGCAAAAGCCAACAACCTTCGAACACCTGATGGAACTGAACGATGCTGGCTCCTTCGGGTCTTCTCTTGGAGGCCTCGTGGGCCGTCTTAAAGGCCTCTTGGGAGCTTCTTAGGCCGTCCTGGGCCATGTTACGGCCATCTTAGGCCGTTTTGGGTGCATCTTGGGCCGTCTTGGAGACGCATTGTGGCCATCTCGGGGTCTCTTAGGGACATCTTGGCCGTCTTGAAGGCCATATTGAGCGTCTGGGAGGCCTCTTGGGCCGTATTTGGGCCTTCTTGGGGCCAGCTTGGGAGCTTCTGGCGTCGTCATGGGCACATCTTGGAGGCCTCTGCGAGGATCTTGGGGCGATCTTGGGGATTTGTTGGGCCGTCTTGGGCCGTCGGAAAGCCGACACGGCGCGAACGCCAAACTCATCTTTTCTGGACCCTCGGGCCCAGTTTTGGGGTTGGAGAGTTAGGCAGTATTCCGTGGCACGCTCATGCTGGCTTGTGCTGTCTTGTCCGACTGAAGCGTCCACTGCATTCTTCCTCCTCCTCCCTCCTGCTCCTCCTCCTGCTCCTCCTCTTCCTCCTCCTCCTCCCTCCTCCTCCCTCCTCCTGCTCTTTCTCATCCGCTCCATCCTCCCTGTCTCTTCGGCTTCCTCCCTCCCTTCTGCGTCGCCCATTTTGCCCCCGGAGGGCGGTCCCTGCGCCGAGGCCGCCCGGCGGCAGCAGGGCATGGTCAGGGGAGCCCTGTGGCGCCTGCACCTCCAGAAGACGAACAAGTATGCGGTCCCGGGGGGCGTGACCGCTGGGTGGGCAGCATCGCCGCATGGTGTAGCACGAGCGTCGTCCCTCTCTTCCCCCCACCTTTTTTTCCTCCCGTCTCCGCTCGCGCATGCTTCCTCGTTTGCCCACTCGCCGCAGCCGTTGGCACGACACTCGTATTTTCTGAACGAGCGCCCGTGCGCTGATGAAGCAGCGAGTGTTTTGACCTCTGCTGCGTTGCCTTGAGATTGTCTATTCATCTTGGCCTGCGGGGTGGGCAGCATCCTGTGCAGGAGTGGGAGTCGGGTCAGGGGATGGATTCGGCAGCAGATCATGGGGGCATTGCATGTCCTCGCGCTTCCGTCTTTGGAGTGCATTCGCGTCTGGTAACTAGTTGATCAGGAAGCGCCGAGTTCGCATCGGCTGGCGTCGATCTAGCGCCGATTAGCGTCTGTTAGTGCCGATTCGCAAGAACTAGCACGATGGCATGGGATGCTCCCATGAGTTGCTACAGAAGGGTCAGGGGCAGGACGCGGAGAAGACACAGTGGAATTAGTGAATCATGACGGCGATGATGATTCTGCTTCAGGAGTGCTGCAAGCTACCATCTCCTGATGACGCAAGCTGAGCGCTGCCTCGCCATGACGTCTCTTCCTAAGATGGGAGGGCGATGATGCTAATGACTAGCATGATGATGACGCAATGCTGGCGAACTTTCGAATGATGATACGAGGGGAGGTGGAGGACGGGTGGATCAGCAGCGTCATCAGATGTATTGTCCAGGACTCTTATGACCTCTGAGACAGTTGCACGGGTGGGGGGCTGTTTCTTTTCAACACGGGGTTCTCGCTCGACACCTGGTTGAAGTGTATGGTCCTTTGTTTTTGCGCAACTCGCAAGGAAGCAATGCAGTTCTTTTCAAAACGGGGTGAATGGCGTGACCATGGAGGGCTCGTCTGTCAAGGGGGCGCTTCTTGTAGCCAAACGGTTGTAGGGACTTCTGGTTTACCAGCCCTCCTGTGTGTTGGGTCCTCGTTTTGAATTCGCCCACTTCCTTCTTCCCACCTCCCTCTCCTCATTTTCGCCTCGCCGCGGTGGCAGAGCAGATTTGCCTCTCATTTTTTTGGGTCCTGGCTTTCACGCGGCCAAATTGGCGCGCGCCTGGTGTCCAGGGGGTGGGTGCGCTGGGGGAACAGCGCCCAAAGGAGCGCTCGGGGGCGCGCTGGGACGAGCGCCCAGGCGAGCCCAGAAAAGCGCCGAGAAGGGCGCCCAGGAGATCGCCATCAAGACTGCCCAGATTATCGCCCAGACGCGAGCTCAGAAGAGCGCCCGAAAGAACGCCCGGAAACGCGCCCAGACACGACCGATTTCGCGTCCGATTTCGCGACCGATTTCGTGTCCGATTCTGAATCAGACGCAATTCGGATTTGGAATCGGACAAACAATCGGGCGCAAAAGCGGACCCAAAACAGACCCACATCGGGCGCGAAATCGGACGCAACATCGGGCGCACATCGGGCGCAAAGGGCGTATAAGTTTTCTGCGCGGATGAGGAAGCGCATCGCGGCGCACCGCAGCGAGGTCTGGTCGGGCGAAAACTGGGAACTCAGGCGCGCAATTCAGCGTTGGAGTTTAGCGTTGTGCCGGACGACAAGTGGTGATCTCGGGTTGTGTCGAAGTCGGACCAAGTCGATCAAATAATCGGATCCCCGCTTCTGCGGACGTTCTTCAGGTGACTCACTTTCCTCACCCCCCTTCTTCTCCCAATGCTCTGGTGTGTCAGGTCCTGCTTTCGAATCCACAGCGCCGCGGTCTACCTCCTCACCTCCTCCCCCCTCTTATCCTCTTCCTCCCCATCCTTGTTCGGTAGCAAATCATGGGGGCCTTGTGTACCCTCGTCATTCTGTTTTTAGCGTCGATCAGCGCCTGGGAGCCGATGAGATGGCACCGATTCAGCGTCGGTTGGCGCCGATCAGCGCCGAGACTCGGCGTCGCTCCGTGCCGATCTGGCGTCGAGCAGCGTCGAGGAGCCTCGACGCGCAAGAGCCAGCGAGGTGGCATGGGAGGCCCCCGTGCGTCGCCACCGAGTCCTTGCCATCGGCCTCGTCCTCCTCCTCGCCGTCGCCGCCGGCCGCGTCGTCGTCCGACCTCCCTTCGGCAACGCGCAGAAGGGGGGGCAGGGGGAGGGGGGGAAGGCCTCCTAGACGCACCCCTGCTTCTTAGAAGGCGCGGGCCTGCTCCATAGACGTAAGGCCGAGGCCTTCTGAGAGGCAGGGGTGCTTCCAAGAAGCCTTCCCCCCTCCCCCTAATTACCCTCCCTCTGCGCGCCGCCGATCCCTGGCCGCGCCCGCCCGCCCGAAGGCGGCCTCGCCCGAGAGGCCGCCCTCCTGGGGCCCCCTCTCCGCGCCGGCCGCGCCGCGGGCCCCCCGGCGCGCGCCCCGCCCCCCCGCCGCCCCCCTCCCTCGACCCGCGGGCGTGCGGCAGGCCTACGCGCAGGCCCACCTGCGCGGCTTCACCACCAGGAGCGCCGCGCGCCCGCGGCCGCCGCGACGGGAGACTCTTGGCCATCTCTCGCCTCCGGGCGCCCCGACCGCGCTGCGGGACCGTCAGGAAACGACTGGGGAGGAGAAGCCGGTCCCAGGGAACGGGTCGAGACCTCTGGGGGTCGACGTTCCGCAAAAAGCACGGCGTGGGGTGTGTGCTGGGAACGCTCAGGAGGCCAGGCTCGGGCCCAGCGGCGCTCCAGGCCCGAGTTCTCTGGGGCCGCACGTCGACGGGTCTGGCCCGACTCTGCAAGGAAGGCGTCCTTCGAGAGTCGCCGGTTCTACCGAAAGGGAGGGGGAGAGGGGGGGAGAGAGATGGAGCGACGGATAGCCTGCACAGATCCACTGCTCCCCGGTCAGGCTCGCCCTGAACCCGGGCGCTGGGTATGCGCCCCTCCTGGCCACACGCCAGGTGGGCGTGGCGTGTGCGCCGCTGCTGGGTTCGGGGCGGGCCCTGGCCCGGGAGCAGTGGACCTCTGTGCGGGCTGTGCCGCCCTGGGGAGAGAGAGACGGAGAGAGGGTCGGGCCGGACGAAAGAGGGGGGGGATGGGGAAGGGGGGGTGGGTTTGACATTTGCGGCATGCAGCTGGTTCCCGCCCCACCGAGGGGCCCCTTCCTCGACACATCGCCGCCTCCGGCGCCGGGAGGCGCCGGGAGAAAACCAGCTAATTACGTGAGCGGATTCTCGAGCCCCCCCTTTGCTATATCCCCCCCTGTCGCCCGACCCGAGAGGGGGATAGGGCGAGCCAGGGCGAGCGAGGGAGGAGGAGGAGGAGGAGGAGGAGGAGGAGGAGGAGGAGGAGGAGGAGGAGGAGGAGTAGGAGGAGGGGGAGGAGGGGGAGGAGGAGGAGGAGGGGGAGGAGGAGGAGGAGGAGGAGGGGGAGAGGAGAGGAGGAGGGGGAGGAGGAGGAGGAGGAGGAGGAGGAGGAGGAGGAGGACCCGGATCTCGGGCTCGCCCGGCGCTCCCCCGTCCCCCGACAAGTCGACCTGGCCCTGGTGCGCGTGGGCACACGTGGAGCTGCCCAGGGCGGAAAGGCTGGGTTTAAGTCGGGCCGGTCCCCCTACAGGGGGACTGTCGACGGAAAAAAAATACCCCCAAAATAGTCAAACCATGGTCCAGAAATAGTTTTGGGACTATTTTCTGACCTTTTTGGGGCATTTTTGGGTATTTTTTGTTTTTCGTCGAAAATCCCTTTGTAGGGGGACACTCCCGACATAAGGCTAGGTTGTCGGCCAGCACCTCCCCCCGTCTCCTCCCGCCAGCTGACCCAGACGCTCGCCGAACTGGGGCAACTCTCAAGGGCGTCTCAAGTTCTCCGAGCGGCAGCAGCTCTTGTTTCCGGGCCTTACTCGGAGCTTGGGATCAAGCGTGCAGCTGGCACCCCACGTACCTGAGCCTTCCAGCAAAGGCAGTGCCGGACCACTAGAAGAAGAGGGCCACGCCGTCAAAGGGGGCATGGGCAGGGGGTGGGGACTGGTGTAGGGCGAACTGGAGGGAGGGAGAGAAACAGATAGAACTTCCTTCAGCTTGAGACTCGATCCAAAACCAGAGAGAGAGAGAGAGAGAGAGAGACAGACGCGTAGCCCCTTCCTTCATCTTGAGACTCGATCCCAAACTCGGTCCAAACGAGAAAGAGACAGTAGAGAGGGCGAGGGGTGGTCACAGGCCGTCGTCGCCTTCCTCTTCTCCTTCGGTTTTGGCCTTCGGGAGCCTTCTTTGTCGTCACGGATGCGGCCCAGAAAGTGGGTCAAGAAGCCTGACTCAAAGCGGTCCAGGGATCGGTTTTGTTAGAATTTTGACGGGGATGCACGCTGCTATCCGGTTCCCTCTTGGCCTCGGTGCAATCGGATCCCGAGCAGCATGCTTTGCCAGCATCGGGATGCACCGAGCTTCTCCCTGAACAGTCTAGGACTGTGCCTGTCATGAGTAGTAGGAGTAGTTCTACATCCTGGGCGGGAGAGCCGTTCTGAACAGGTGGGCAGTCGGCCAACTCAGGGCCCAGGGCTCGGTCCCAGAGGCCCTGCGCTGCCAAGGAGCAGCGGCTGTGCACCAGCACGACGGGTGCCGTGCACTGCAGAGTCTCACCTCGCATTCGTCCCCTCGAGCCCGCTGCTCTCCTCCGCTCCTGGCGGGCAGGGGGGGCGTGCGGCGGCTCTGACGAGCGCGGGCCTCGAGCGGAGGGCAGTGGGAGCGCCTGCGCCCGAGCGCGCCGGAGGCAGGAGCCAGAGCCCGGAGCCAGGGCAGCACCCGAGGCATGGGAGAGCCCCCGCGGCAGAGCCGGAGGCCGGGGCGGGCCAGAGGCAGAGGCCTGCTCCTCCCGGCGAGGGCCCCTGCCGCCTCGGGCGAGGGAGCCGTCTGCCCACGGGGCGCCGGAGACGACGACGGCGGCAACGGCAACTTCGAAAGGAGGGCCACGGACGACGACCGACAACGACGACGACGACTGCCGCCCGACAGCGACGCCTGGCGCGCAGACGCGGCTCCTTCGGCCGCTGCCCGCTCGGCGCGCGGGGCGCGCCGGGTGCCGCGTCGGCGCCCCGCGGCCCCAGCTGTCGCAGCCGCTGCGCCGCCTGCTCCGCGAAGAGCTGCGCCCCCCCCGCGGCGCCCGGTCGGCGGGGCTGCGGCGGACCTCTTATGCCTCCCAGGGGGGGCCGGAGCAGACGGGGCCGGAGGACCGCGCCGCATCGCCGATGCATCGGCGATGCGGCTCGATGTGGAGCCCGATCTTCCCCACGCCGACGTCGCGGCTGCACCGCCGATGCATCGGCGCTGCGGTGGCGATGCGGCGCGATCCTCCGACCCAATCTGCAGTCAACCCGCACAGGAAGGCTGAGCGACTTCCCGAGGGCACCCTCGCATCCTCGCCCCTTCGGCCATCTCCAGCCCACCCCCACCCTCTCTCGAAGGCCAGCCCCGCTCGAGGAGCCTCGGCATGGGCGCCCAGGGCCCTTGCACCCTCACCGCGCATCCTTACTGCACGGGCTGACCGTGGTCGGAGCCCATCCTGGGAGGCCTCCACGATCCCCGGTCGGCCCCCGCCCAGCGCGGGCCGTGGCGGACCCGCCGCTCCCGGGCAGCAGCCCTCGCCACGGCGTCGGGGCCCTCCTCGTCTGCGTCCGGGCAACCCGCCGCCGCCTCGCGCCGCGGCGGGCCGCCCCGTGCACGGACGCCCGGGGTCGTGGCTGCCGTGGCCGCGCGTCGCGGGAGCTCTCGTCGAGAGCGGTTTTGGAACGCGGCTCCGCTCGACGGCCTGGATCCACGCGCGGCGTCGCGTGCTCGCAGTCTGCCGCGCGCTTTGGAAGTCGGCGTCGTGGACCCTGTCAGGAAAAATCAGCCGCGCGCTCTGGTCATGAGCTGTCTGGACACCTGCAAGCGGCGCGGCGGGAGGGACGGCTCGGCGAGTGAGCCTGCGATCGTTCGGGAGGCGCGAGCGTGCCTCGGTGTGTCACACTCAACCTCCTCCTGCTTGTCCTCCTCCTGCCTGTCCTCCTCCCTCGCCTTTTTTTGTTGTTCTCTTTCTCTCTCTCTCTCTCCATCTCTCCCTCCCTTCTCCCTCTCCTCTCCTCCTCATCATGCTTCTCTGTATGTTCTTATCCTGCTATTCCTCTCTTTTTCCCCTTTCCTCACCCCTCATGCTCCTCTTCTCCGCCACGCGGCCGAGGAGACTCATCGAGAAGATGAGGTCGGCCGTGGTGATGATTCAGCGCAACTGGCGCCGCTTCCAGGCGCAGCTTAATATCAAACTGCTGCTGTACGAGAAGCTGGAGGAGGGGGCCCGCTGCCCAGAGACCCGCGCACACCCGCCGCCATCCTGCCCTTTCCTCTTTCCCCTTCCTCTTACCCCTTCCCCTGTGACGTCCCTCCCCCTCCTCTCATACTCCTCCTTCTCCTTCTCCTTCTCCTTCTCCTCCTGCTTATTATCATCCTTCTTCTTCTCCTGCTTCTTCTCCTGCACCTTCTCCGCCTCCTTCTCCTCCTCCCTCCTCCTCCCTCCTCCTCCTCCTCCTCCTCCTCCTCCTCCTCCTCCTCCTCCTCCTCCTCCTCCTCCTCCTCCTCCCCTGCACGTCCTCTACCCCTCGTTCAGCCCTGCCCTGGCCCCCGCGAGCAGGAGATCCGCGTCAGGCGCAAAGAGATCTTGAGGGACAAGCTCGAGGAGGCGCGCTCCCCTGCGGCGGCCCGCCCCGAGCGCCTGGCCCCGGCATGCTGACCCTCCAAACGCCGCGGCTGGAACAGGGGCGGGAGATGAGGTGAGGAGAGCGGACGAGGGCAGAAAGAATGATGGATCGGGGGAGCACGGGGGCTCCAGGCGAGTCCAACCGTGGCGACGGAGCTCCCCAGAAGGCTAAAGACGGACAAGCTGCACGTCAAATTTTCCTTTCTCCTCCTCCTCGTCCTTCTCCTCGACCTCCTCCTCCTTCCCTCCTCTCCTCCTCCTCCTCCTCCCCTCCCTCTTCCTCCTCCTCCCCTCCCTCCCCTCCCCCCCCCCCCTCCCCTCCCCCTCCCCCCCTCCACTCGTCGCCTCGTCCTCCTCCTTGTCCTCCTCCTTGTCCTCCTCGTCGTGTCCTCCCTCCTCCTCCTCCTCCTCCTTTCTTCCTCCCTTCTCCCTCCTCCTCCTTGTCCTCCTCCTCCTCCTCCTCCTCCTCCTCCTCCTTCCTCCCTCCCACCAGCGTGATCGTGCTTCTGGCGGTCCTGACTGGCCGCTGGCCTGGCTTGCTGATGCAGCGCCTGGTGCCATGCAGGCGGGGCCGCTGCAGGGCCGTTTCGGCGCCCCTCATCTTCATGATTCTTAGGCTTACGCCACACCGCCGACCCCTTTGTTTTTCTTGGGGGCTTCCAGGGGGTCCCTGGGGCACGTGGGGGCGTCTTGGAGCCGAAGGTTCGAAGTGTCCGTTCCGGTTTGGGAGCCTATGGGGCCGTCTTAGGGCGGTCTTGGAGGCATCTCGGAGGGTTTTTCGCGCTGTGAAGACCGAACCATCGTATATCAGAGCCGATTGGGGGGCCTCTTGGGGCCCCTTGGGGCCTCTTGGAGGCCTCTGGGGAGCCTCTTGGGGCCTCTTGGGGGCCTTTTGTGGGCGTCTGGGCGCCTTTTTGGAGCCTCTTGTGGCCGCCTGGGGGCCTCTAGGGGCGGACGGCTGGAATGTTCGTTTCGTGGTCCTCCTTTCGGGCCCCTCTTGGGGCCGTCTTGGAGCCCTTTTGGGTCGTTTTGGGCGCCTCTTGTGTCGTGTTGGGGGCTTCTTGGGAGCCTATGGGGCCGTCTTAGGGCGGTCTTGGAGGCATCTTGGAAGGGCCTCCGCGCTGTGAAGGCGGAAAAATCGTATGTGCTGGAAACGTACGTTTTCCTAAAAGAATTTGACGATTTTGGCCTCTCGGAGGCCTCCTGGGAGGCCTCTTGGAACGTCTTGGCGGCCTCTTGGGCCGCCTTCGGACCATGTTAGGCGTCTTGGAACGATCTTTCGGCCCAAGTTAGGCGTCTTGGAACGATCTTTCGGCGTCTCGGGGCCCTCTTGGACCGTCTTGGGGGCATCTTGGGCGGCCCCAGAAGCTGTCGTGGATCTTCAAAAGGAGCCCGGGAAGGGCCGGACCCCCCTGGTGAGCTTTGGCCGGACGGCCCCCCCCCCTTCAAATCGACCGGACCAGGCCCGGGGGGGAGGGGTTTGGGGAGGGGGAAGCATCTCACACGCCGATGATCCCCAAGGGGTCGGCGAATTTTCGTGGTGCTCGCCGTCTGTGTCGTCGCGCTCCTCGTCGGCATCGTTATTCCGTCCTGTGCCAGCGCCCCTCATGGTGCCCGCGGCGATGGTTGCCGAGTCCGTGTTCTCCAAGCTCTTCGAGGGGGGCCTCCTTCTCGCCCTGAGCCGGGCAGGCGGGGCCGCAGCAGCGTCGTTTCGGCGTCCTCCGTCGTCGTGGTGTTCGTGGGGCTCGCCGTCGGGGCCGTCGCGCTCCTCATTCGGCATCTTCGCCCCGGCCTGTGCCAGCGCCCCTCGTGGTGCCCGTGGCGCTGGTCGTCGAGTCCGTGTTCCTCGAGTTCTTCGAGGTGGGCAGCTTCCTCCGGCGGGTTCGCGCGGCGCGCGCGCGTCGGCGCGCCGCGGGTGCCCCCGCTCCCTTGAGACATGCGGCGTCATCCCGACTGTCCCGACCCTTCCTCCCTCCCTCCCTCCCTGCCCTCCTCTCTGAGTACTGTGATGGAGGAATGGGGTCCAGCGTTCCCAATCCTTGTTGTTAGCCTGCCGTGTCCATCGCCCATCTTGGCTCGAGGCGTGGGTGGGCGGGTCCCTCCTTTTCTGACAGGCCTGCAGGTTTGCAGGTAGGCCCCGATGCTGAGCTGTGGTGCCCGCGCCGCCGCGTGTTTCCAGCAGAGCCTCTCCGACGGCGGGGCGGAGTACCATGGCGTCTGCCGGAGGAGTGTCGTCGGCCCCGCCGCCAGGATCTCGGATGGAGGTGCCGACGAAGAATTGCGAGGTAGGCAAACATTCTAGCTACAGGTTCGAGGTGTCCACATGTTCACGAAGAGCGTGAAGACCACCAATCGTTACGTGTGCTGTCCCCAATGTGTGAGAGCGTCGGGACCATGAATTCGGACCGTCGTCGAGAGCTGCCCGGCCATCAACCATGTGGGCAAGGACGGCGTGCTCTTTGGCTGAGACAAGGTGCTCGATGACGTGCTGGACAAGCTGTACTGCGCGAGTCTCAATGACACGGGCCTGCTCGGCGAAGAGTTTTTTCTGACATTGGGCCAGAACGCAGCGGGGACGTTCCATGATTGAGCAGGTGTGCTCCAGAACAAGCATGGGCGGCGTCTGAGGCCGAGAAGGATCGCCGAGCTGCAGCGGCAGGTGAAACCCAGGAATGCGATGACGGATATCCTGGGGACGGCCAAGGCGGGCACCTACGGTGACATTTTCAATCAAGGACGTCCAGATGTTTGAGCCTACAAGCCCCACCGCGCCCCGGGGTGGAGATCCCCGGCCTTCACAGCGGTGAGCTCGAATAACCTCTGGCCCACGCAATGGATGATGGAGTCGAGCCGTCAGCGCCCGCCGGGCCCTCGACGCCGAGTTCCATGGCGCAAGCAGAGGTGGGGCCGATTGAATCTGTTGATAACGCGGGCCACGAAACATCCAGCTGCGACGGGCACGTCGCCAGCACCGACGTCGCCTCTGGCGACGGCAGCCCCGCCTGGGCTGGTTGCTGGAGGGGCATCGGGGCCAGCGGAACCGCCGCCACCTTGAGTGGCAGCCTCCTTGGCGGCTAGATCATCGCCACGCGACCCCCGACCTCGATGGCGAATGACGCGCCGTGGGCCCGGATTCGACCTCCCTATGCTACCGGAGAAGTAACGCCGACCTGGAAAGACGGCTGGCGACGCGCAGGACGACCCCAACCTCTTTGCCGATCTCGCCCACGACAAGCTGAACATCAGCCTTGGGGCCGGCGAGCACCAGACAGCGTGTGTCGAGTACCTCCAGGACGAGGCCACCACTGGGGATGGCCGCGAGGGCCCCAGTGGCGAACCGACGCCTGTAGGGCGAGTTGGATATGATGCGGTCGGTGACCGACCGAAACGAGCTCCACGGTGCCATCGGCAAGGAGACGGGCCATTGGTTTAGCATCATGGAATGTGACCAGTGCCAGTGTCCCGCACCGATGACGCTGCGATCATCATCAGGGTGCGGTGGCCGTTCGCCAGGAGCGCGGACAGTCTTGCGAAAGCCCGCGGGCAATAGTTAACTGACAGCGAGCCCCGCGGCCTCGCGTCGAACCCGCAGCGTGATGTTGACTGTGGTGGCCGCGAACCACTGGAAACTGATCGACGGGGGCGTAGCCTCAGCCGTTCCTCAGGCGCGCGAGCTGGACAGTGACCTCTTCATCGAGGCAGACCGCGCGCTCCTGAAGGCATTCAGCGCTTGGGCAGGGGAGCTGCTGCAGGTGGTCAGACCGGCGCGCGGCATCGGAGCGGCCCCGCGTCTTTGACGGGGAATTGCCAGGGTGGACTTCGTCGAGCTGGGACCCCGAGCTTGCGACTTGGAGCCGTGTCTCTGGAAGGTGTGATGCTTGCAGTCGAGCAGATTCATCGGCGCGACCATGGCTTGCGTGGGCGCCTTATTTTGGCGGGCGACGCCTCCCGTGCCGCGTGGGCCCACATCGCCCACCGTATCCGTGGATTGTACAGATGGGGCACGTGGGAAGACATGAACGGTGGGCTAACCAGTTTCGAGCAGTGTGACGTCATGATCGAGGAGAACAAGACTGGGTTCCTCCTGCGCCAGGGGGCCCGCGGCGAGGATATCAAAGGATATCCAGAAGATGGGGGCTTCAGATGGCGGTCGCCATCGCGCCGCCGACGCCCTGCTGGGCGCCAGTGAGACAGCGCCCGGGGTATTCCGCGGGGCAGTCCGAGATCCCCGGCGGCGCGCGCAATTTTTTGGCGGCCTCGAGCGACGTCGCTGAGCTCCGCGAGCAGCGCCAGATCGCGCGGCTGCATATTCGCTGGCGCAACGTCGACGACCCGGCCTTGTTCGCATGGCGCGATGCCGCGCGGGTAAGCCGTCCAGGCGGGCGCTCGCAAGGTGGTCGGTCGCCTGGCGGCCGTCGCGGCAACGGATGCCGCGGATTGCGAGGCGGCGGAGTTCGCCGGCCTCGACTACGGATTTCGAAAGCTACAGCGGGTGGCCCGCTCGAGTCGGGCCGCTCAAGTGCAAGAAGCCGGCGGCGTTGCAGGAAGGAGAACAGTGCGTGGTGCACCTGGTCCGCCCCGAGATCCCCAGAACATGTCGCCCTTGCGCCGCCGCGTGGGCGCCCCGCGGAAGGAGGCGGCCGTGCTCGTGACAGATTGCATGGCCGTCTACGACGGTGTGGTGCGATCTCAAGTGGCCGGCCTCGGCCTCGAGGAACGACGCGCGGCCGTCGAGGCGCTGGCGCTGCGCGGCGCCCTCGGCGATGGCGCGGCGGTGGTGGGGCGGCCAAGTCCCCGCGCGCAGGTCGCCGACTGGCTCGCCAAGGCCAGCTGCCAGGCGTTCGGCGTGATCGTGCTCTTCCCGGAAAAGCAGAGGTGGTGACTGGTTTGCGATTGGCGCTTCATGAGCGCCCGCAAGCGGGCCGCCTTCGGCAATGACATTTTCGACGAGACTGGGCCCAGAGACCCGCGGCAGGAAAGAAGATCATCGAACGGCGGCGCCTGGGCCGCATCAGGGGAGGGAGCGAGATCGCCCAACCTCCTTCGAGCCCCTGTCGAGGTGCGAGAGGAGATCGCCAAAAGCCCAGATCATGATCCAGAAGCTGCGATATCGACTCGCACCAGGCGAATTGCATCGACTTCAACAAGGTTGGTGATGCTCACCCGGCGCCTTCTGCGATCGGCACTCCGATCGGCGACGTGGCCGCTCTTCTCTCCCTGTCTGAGTGCAGGAGGATCGGGTCCAGCGTTCCCAGTCTCTGCTGTTCGCCTGCCGTGTTCTTCCCCCGTCCCGACTCGAAACGTGGGTGGGCGGGTTTCTTCCTTTCCAAAGTGCTTGCCCTTTTGCAGGCAGGCCGTGATACGGGGCTTGTAGCTGCTGCGCGCGGTGGACAAGGGTGTCCTAACCCCTCGTTCCCACGATCATCGAGATAACCTTTCCGTATTCAAGTTCTTCACGGAGCATGTCGGCATCCCCGGCGTGATAGGCTACCCTATTCGTCCCTGTGGGATTCAGACCTTCCCTCCCTCCTCCCCTCCCTGTTCTTCCTCCTCCTTCTCCTCCTCCTCCTCTTCTTCTTCTTCTTCTTCCTCCTCCTCCTCCAGGGGATCGGAGGGGGCAGGGTGGCTCCGGGAATGGAGCGGCCGCGGCACCGCGCGTGCAGTCTCCGCGCGCAGTGGCTTCAAACCCGACGCGGCGCCGGAAACACTGCGGCCGCCACGCAGGAGTGGTGGTCAGAGGCAACGTTCGGGGGTGGAGAGGCTCAGGTTTCGGCCTGGAGGTTCGATGTTCGAGGGGGCGGGGGGTGCGGCTTCGAGGTCTGACGTCCGAGGTTTCCGGGCGATCTCGGCGGTTCTCTGGCCCCGGGATGTTCTCCAGCAGCGGCGCCTCGCCGATGGCGTTCGGGGGGTGCCAGCATCCTCCCGAGCGGCCGCCCGAGAGCCCAATCATGGCTCACCACCCACCAAACCACCCCAACCCAACCCGAAGGCCCAGATTTACCCTCGATTTCCAGTGGGGGGGGGTCGGGGAACATCGAAAAAACACATGGGATCCGTACCCCCCCCAACCCGGAATTCGGGTCGAATTCGGGCCTTCGGGTTGGGTTGGGGTGGTCTGGTACTTAGGTAGTCAATGGCTCGAAAGACACAAGGCACGGGGCTAGGCTCAGGGGGGGAGGCATCGGCCCCCCACTCGCCCACGGATCGCCGCCAGGGGGCCTGGCAACCTGTCCCGCTGAGCCAGGGAGGGTGCGGGGTCGTTAGATCGAAGGCGTATTGCCGATCTCTCGGCGACGTATCGCCGAGATCAGTTCGACGTTTCCCCTCCTGACCCAGTCTCCCCTATCGTTCCCCCTGAGTCATACATGTCCACCGCTTCTTGGATCCTGGGAGAAGTTGGATATGGATCCGTTGGCCCCCCAGCTCCCAGCCTTGGAGAAGTGGCCGCGTTGGGAGGGATGGGATGGGGGGACGGAGCGCTGATCCTCCTGTTCCTCTTGCCCCTCTTGCTCCTGTTCCCTGTCTTCCTGCCCCTCTGCCTCCTGCTTGACAGCTTCGTCCTCCAATTTTTGACGTTTCGCGTATCCCCACTAGTGGGGGTCTTGCATCGCGCCATTTTGGCAGCGTAATTACTGCCCTGCGCTGTTTGCCGTCAGACTCCTTGGGCTCAGCTCCTGCACCCGCCGCCTGGCGCCGGCCGCGCTCGCGCGCGCTCGGCCAATTTGTAGCGGCCGCAGCCCGACCGCTACCCGCCGCCGCTGGCGCTTCCGCCTGCGGCCGTAAAAAAAGGTATCCCCACTAGTCTTTGTTTTCCCGCGTTTCCTTTGCCTAAGTCGTCTCTGCGTAGCCCGCTTTGACCTAACACGCCGCCGGCGCGCTCGCCCGCGGCCGCTGACTAAAAAGTATCCCCACTAGGCCATCCAGAAGGGGGAGAGAGGAAGAGGCACGCATAGTCAAACAGCGAAGAGGCTTGGGAGGCTCCGTGGCCATCTCGAGCCGTCTTGGAGCGGTCTTGGGGCCGTTTGGAGCATTTTGGGAGCCATCTTGAGCCAGCTTGGGCTATCTGAGCTATCTTGGAGGTCATCTTGAGCTCTCTGAGGCCGCTCAGGGGCCTCTTGGGGGCCTCTCGGGTGCCTCTTGGAGGCCTCCAGGGGCTTCTTGGGGCGCTCTCTGGGCCCTCTTGGGAGCCTCTTGGGAGCCCTGGACGGCCTCTTGGGGCCATTTTGGAGGCGGTCGATCAAAAGAGGGGGTTCCCTCATCTCCGTCCCCCCCATCGGGGCCCCACGATCCTCGTGAGGGGTGTCAAAACTTGGCCCTCCCAGGGGCCGAAAAAGGACGCTCTAACTCGTCGGACCCCCCTCCCAAGAAACCTCAGGGAGGGGAGCGGGTTCTCCTTCCCGAAGGGAAGAAGGGTTGTCGAAGAGGAAAGAGACCCTCCTCAGACCACCTGTCGCCCAAAAGGCTGGTGGGACAGCCCCGCTTCTGACTGAGCATGACACGACGGGTCATCACTCGGGGGATCAAGGCTTTCTCGGACACCCAAGTCGGCGGATAAAAGCTGATTCAGCGCAGCGGGGAGGGATGGGTGAGAGAGGGCCCCTCTCCCTCTCGCCTCCCTCTCCCCCTTCCTGCCCCCCTCTCCCCCTTGTCTCCTCTTCCTCTCCCTCTCGGCTCCCCCTTCCCCGCTCCCCTCTACCTCGCTTCCTTCCTCCCCCGTCCGTCCCAGCCTCCATCCCTGCCCTTCCGCCCCTCCTGTGTCCCTGGAGGCGGCAGCTTGCGTCATCCAGAGCAACTACCGTCGGCACCGCGAGTACCAGACGGTGATCTTCATGAAGCGCGAGAAGGGTGAGGCCGACAAGAGGAAGCGCAACGCCGGGAAGAGGTGGAAAAGGAGGAGGGGGAGCGGAGGATGACGAGGCGGGATGAAGGGGAGGAAGAGCAGGAAAAGGAGGACCAAGAGGCGAAAGGGGATCCTAGCTGTCCCTCGTCCCGAAGGGTCCTCCCCCCGCGGCGCCACCTACGTTATAGCTACCCTGGGTTTTTCACCTCCCCCCCCAGCGGCAAAGGCGCCTTGGGGTGGGTGGGTGGGAGGGCTGCGTTTCGTGAAGAGCCAAAGCCCGCAGTGGCCTACAGTCGGGCCGCTGAAGAAGGAACCCTTTTCGTTTGGGAGGGGCTCAGTGTTCCTTAGTTGTTTCACAGTGCTCCTAGGGTTTTCCTGAGCTATCCCCTGGAAAATCTGAGTTTCACTTATGGGAAAAAGGGACCTCGTTCCTTGTTTATCGTTCCTTAGGTTAACGCCCCGACTGTACGTGGAGGGACAGGGGGCGAGGGGGGAGCGAGGGGGGAGGCTGCAGGGGAGCGGAGCGGGAGGAGGACGAGGCGCGCGCGGGGTGGGTCTCGGAGCTCCAAGAGACCGCCCCCGGCGGGTCCAGCGCCAGCTGTAGGCGAGCGGCGCCGCGCCGCATCGCGCCCATGTCCCGTGCTTCGGGGGCGGAAAAGAGGGGGGTGATGACTAGGGGGGGGTGGATATCATGGCGGGGGCCATGATATTTCCCCAGATTTCATGGCGCCTCTTCTTATTTCTTCATTACGTCCCTGGCCCCCCCGCTGGGCCGCGCACATGCCGCCGGTCATGATTTGCACCCCCTTCATGGACACCCCCCTCTTGGCCGCTCCCGAGTGCTGGCCGTTCTCGGTCGAGTCATTGGCAGTTTGGAGCGCATCTCGTCGTCGTCGTCGTCGTGGTGCCTGCCTCATTCAGGAGGGAAAGAAACACACAGACATAATTAATCGTCGATTTCCCGGAAAATATGGGGAAATATGGGAAGTGGGGGGGAAGACAAAAACCCAGAACATATGGGAAAATATGTTGATTTTTTTTATTTGTGTGTATTTATTTGTGTGTCCCAGGGCCCCTTCATCTTGGTTGAGTCATTGGCAGTTTGGAGCGCATCTCGTCGTCGTCGTCGTGGTGCCTGCCTCATGCGGTGCGCGTGCTGCGTGGGAGCGGGTCACCGCATGCTGGGGCCCATATTGCGACTGACGCAGCCGGTCTGGGCCAACCGGCTCTCGGGGGACACCCCCGCCCGTTGTCCCGTGCTGGCCGTTGTTGGTTGAGTCATGGGCAGTTTGGAGCGCATCTCGTCGTCGTCGTCGTGGTGCCTGCCTCATACGGTGCGCGTGCTGCGTGGGAGCGGGTCACCGCATGCTGGGGCCCATACTGCGACTGACGCAGCCGGTCTGGGCCAACCGGCTCGCGGGGGACCCCCCCGCCCGTGGGTGACCCGCGCGGTGCGAGCTGCCTACGGGGGAGACGTTTGGGTGGGAGCGGATCTCGTCATGCTGAGACCCAACATGCAGAGTCAGCCGCGGGTTTTTTCTCCGCCAGTTTTCGGGCGACCCGCCCGCCCGTGGGTCACCCGCGCGGTGCCGGTTTCGTGCGGGCCACGTGTTGAAGTTATCGGGTGTGAGTGCATCACCTCATGCTGGGTCCCAGCATGCAAGGGGAACGATCGTTTTTTTTGTCAACATGTTTCGGGTGGCCCCTCCGCTCGGGGGGCGCCTGCGTGGTGCCTGCTTCATACGGTCGGCGTACTGCGTGGGACTGCATCATTTTATGTTAAGGTCCAGAATGCTAAGGAAAACATCGGTTTTTGTCCGCCCATTCTCGGGTGAGCCATCCGCCTGTGGGTCACCTGCGTGGTGCTGCTTCACGCGTGAAGCGTAGTGAGTGGCAGTGCATCACCTCGTCCTGGTGTTCAGGGCGCAAGTGAAACAGATGGGTTTTTCTCAGCCAGTTTTCGGGTGACCCACCCGCCTGTGTGTCACATGCGTGGTGCCTGCTTCGGGCGGGAAGCGTATTGCGTGGGAGTCCATCGCTTGATTAGGGCCGAGAATCATTGGGCGTTTTCTTCTGCAGGACCCCTCGAAAAAGGACGTCAAGGTGGTTAAACGCCTGGATGGGTAAACTGGCGAAGATGTGCAACATGCTTGGTCACATGCCAGGTGCGTTTTCGCTGGCTATTCCGAGGTGAATTTGGGCTAGAGGTCTACATTTCAGCGGGCGCTTTGTATTCCAAAGTATGTCGACGTGTGGGGGCCGGTAGACTGTGGCAGTGTGAGAAAAAAAGGCGCCCACTATTTCGACCTTGGCCACCGAGCGCAGCAGT